CATCAATGATGTAATGCACTGCACCTAATTTGTACTATAGAGCCGTATGCATCCCAAACAGATCGAAGGGTCACAGCGCAGATACACACAGTTCACAAATATGGTACACATAAGGAGTATTGGTATCCAATCACCATTCATTTTTGCCAGCACCTTTTGAACCTTGTGACTGTGATGAGTACGAGTTTTGTCATCAGACAGATAAAGTTGTATGTAACACATGTACTGTACGTATGCAGGGCTGCAGGGGCTGCAGACTGCATGGTGCAGTCCCTTATGCCAAGTGTCGGATTTCACTTGCCACAACTGTAAATATACTACTCTACAGTGGATCCTACTCTGTATCGGACCAGTCGGCCTCCGAAACCAGTTCTGGATCCTGGCTGAAACGATCGAACCGGCCAGACGGGTTCGACGGTGGCGGTGGTGGTGGAGGTGTGGTCGGTGGGGGAGGAATCGCCCGGGGTCGGGCCCGCTGTTGGAGGCGAGCTGCGGCCCGTCGCCGAGACCTGGCAATGAAAGCGGGGGTTCGACAACGGCGGGACTGGCGTGTATGGCGGCGTCGCTCAATTGTCCGTCGAGCATCCTCCGGTGGCATTAGTGGGCGTGGTGGTGTTGTGTGCTGGGAAGAGTGTTGTGGTTGCAGTTGATGTTGGATTTGTGGTTGAAGGTGTTGTTGAAGATTTGGTTGGTGGTGATGTCGGGGCCGGGGGTGATGTTGGTGGTGGTGTCGGGGGTGATGTTGGTGGTGGTGTCGGGGGTGATGTTGGTGGTGTTGCTGGTGGTGTTGCTGGTGGTGATGTCGGCGGTGATGCGGTGAAGGAGGGGGTCGTTGGAGTTGCAGGGTGATGGTCCTGCACACCACGCGCAACCGAAACCAACAGAGAGAAAAACAAACACGCAACACCGGACACCACAGCAGACACACCAACATACTACAATGCCCTCCCTGCTAGCATTCGTGACGTCTCCTCCCGACCTGCTTTCAAACAAGAAATCTGCTCACTGCTGATTAACTCAATCTGCTCCTGCAGCGCTCACCCTCTCCCATACTTGTAAAGTTCAAAGTGATGTAAATCACTTTCCAACTGTTTAACCCACAATCTCACCTTCTCATAAATTTATCTCTTATTGGCGATGGTGCCATCGTGAGAATAAAGAATTCAAACATCCACAGGTCAAACTCGACAGCGATCTAGCGAGGACGAACACTCGGCTGGAGATTACTTAAAAAAAAAATGACTGAGGGAAACTGTGACAGCGAGGACGAACACTCGGCTGGAGATCTCAGAATAAGGGTGTGAACGAAGAGGGCAGGCGGGGAATGGTGACTCCCGCCATTATGGGGGCTGGAGGTGGGTTAACCGGGGCGTCCACAGGGGGAAGGTTTACGGGTCCAAAAATACGCTTTAATCTATTCCTGTGGACGGTCATATCATAACGGTGGTGCGGCGGGCTGAATGGACACCAAGCCGCTTAATGGTATAAACCAGGGGGAATGAACTACAGAAACTTGCCATGGACCATCCCAATACCGGAACAACTTAGGACTGTCACCAGCCTGGGGGTGTAGGTAAAGCCAAACAAACTGTCCAACTTTCAAGGTATCGGCATTGGCCTTCAGATCATAGTTGGTCTTAGCACGGCGGTGGCCAACATCCAAATGTTCTCTGACTAACCTATAGGCCGCCTCTAAACGTTCCCTCAAACGGATAACATAGGAGGTGGGGCTGAAAGTGACAGGTGTAGGGTCTGGGGTGGGGCATAACAAATCTAGGGGCAGGCGGGCCTCCCTTCCGAACAGTAAGAAGAATGGGGTATAGTGAGTGGAATTATGCACACTCGTATTGTAGGCCAGTTGTGCCAGCGGCAACCGTTCATCCCAAGAATCACAATCAGCTGAATCAATGAAAGCTCAGTCGGTAGAGCATGAGACTCTTAATCTCAGGGTCGTGGGTTCGAGCCCCACGTTGGGCGCCAATGTTATCTCTTCGGGTTTTCGTTACGGTTCACACCAGACCACCAGAGATACCAGTTTATTAGAGTCTGTAAAGCATATATCTCACGGGACGAGGACAGATTTTTAGACACCAACATTAGGGAATGGATTCGACTTCTGACTAGATTATCGAAGTTTGGTTATCTTAGAGTGAACTAGAATAGAATGTACGGTGCAATGCATGAGCGCGCCCATTTAGCTGGGCGCGCATTATTATGTGTATAGCCCGACTATGTACACTATAATTTATAAAGGGATGTAATTAGATGAAATGTACGGTGGTTTTTATGTGCAGGGGCAGAAGGAGGGAAAACGGGCTACAAATGTGTACGGTACTAATTATAACATGCAGGGGCAGCGGGGAAATGGGTCAAATATGGTTATAAGTGTGTACGTACGAACTACTGCATGCAAGGCTAGGGGTAGGGGGTAATGGAGTGTGTACGAATTACTGCATGCAGGGGTAGGGGTAGGGGGTAATGGAGTGTGTACGAATTACTGCATGCAGGGGTAGGGGTAGGGGGTAATGGAATGTGTACGAATTACTGCATGCAGGGCTAGGGGTAGGGGGTAGTAGTAGTAGTAGAATTTATTATTTTGATAGGGAAGGCCCTAGGGGTAATGGAATGTGTACGAATTACTGCATGCAGGGGTAGGGGGTAATGGAATGTGTACGAATTACTGCATGCAGGGCAAGGGGTAGGGGGTAATGGAATGTGTACGAATTACTGCATGCAGGGCTAGGGGTAGGGGGTAATGGAATCATGCCGGGGTCGGGATCCAAATATGGGATGCGTATAACATATTGTAGAACCTGTACTATACTCGTATTACTATTACCAAGAGTACATAACCTCTTGCTATTACCGAGTGCATTATGTACTCTTGCTATTACGAAGAGTTCATAAACTGTATCTCGTACTTTTTGCTTGATACTACCCTGTTTTTTTCTTTTTTTCTTTTTCTGGGCCTGGTTAGACTGCGGCAAATTTTGGTTGCCTGACGAAAACAGAACAGCGTCCAGAATTTGAATCGCGATCACACTACACATGTGGGGAGAGTGAAAATTCAAACTTCATTTCGAGCGTCAAGTGGTAATCTCCACGAACGACGTCAAATTCCTTCACCTTGGGGATCGCCAACACCTTCAGTGCAATCCTTGCAACCATCCTTATGAGTTTTGTTGTTGTCCGTGGCCAATTAACTCTTCGATATCGAGATGAAAAAATCAGTGATTATCAGCGTCAATGGCGTATCAGCGTCAAATCCTGTTTGGAGCGGAAAAGCGTGGTCCGTTCTTGCTTTTTTTTTGGAGCGTCAACTCTCGCTTTTGCCGCTCTGGCGGCAAGTTACTATAGAGATTCGGCTTATAATCCTAGGATTATTTCGATTTTGCCGCAGTCTGACCAGGCCCTTACCAGGCGTGGGCCATCGATGCATCCCCTGAATTCATAGGTGCCAAACATTCTTTTTTCTTTAGTTTTCTTTAAGTTGATTGTTCCAACTTGGAACACACGCTTCTTGCCGAACTTGACACTTGACTGACTCACGACTGCCATCCGGAGCACACGAGGAGCACGTCGCACCTTCCACTCGGCAAACCTGCAAGAAAGCACCACTTCCTGCTCAATACACGGTGTTTCGGGGAATTCACCCCTCATCAGTTGACGCGGACGTGCGACTAGTTGTTGGAGGTGACAGCGTTGCGAATAGCTATCCTGGCTCTCAACGTCTGTTTATCACAACTCCATGAGCGACTTTGACTCACGCTGCTACCTGGAGCTTCACGAGGTGTTTGTTGCGCTGGAAACAAAGCGTCTCTGTAAGTTTGTATCCCTGGTGATGGTTTGGCCTGGAGAGCAGTATATAAGTGGTGCTTTTCAGGCACAATCTTCCTCAGCCTACTCAAGCTCAACTGATGAGGGGTGAATTCCCCGAAACACCGTGTATTCAGCAGGGAGTGGTGCTTTCTTGCAGGTTTGCCGAGTGAAAGGTGCGACGTGCTCCTCGTGTGCTCCGGATGGCAGTCGTGAGTCAGTCAAGTGTCAAGTTCGGCAAGAAGCGTGTGTTCCAAGTTGGAACAATCAACTTCATGACTATTACCCCCGAAGTCGCAACTTCTAAGTTCGTTTAGTTTTCTTTGTTATGATTTCTTTTTTTCTTTTCTTTTTACCAGGCGTGGGCCATCATCCCCTGAATTCATAGGTGCCAAACATTCTTTTTTCCTTCTTTTTCTTTTTACAAGTAGGTAGTTGTAGACCCTGAGGCTGTGTCAAGCGCGTATAGCGAGGAAACATTTGTTTGTACGTGCACGTGGGGAGTTCAAGTCTCTTGCCGCAGTGCTGTACAACTTCCCACTAGACATTGCCAAATTTTGCTGTGCTTCCCGCAAGAGAGGGTGCCTATGGATTTCCGGTTGAGGGACTCCTGAACTTCCCGCCTGAGTTGCTGTACTTCTAATTCCAGACTCAGGATTTTATTGGCTCTGGCCTGTCTCAAGGAGACAATTTGCTATAATTGAGTCAGCAAGGCTTACAATAGATCTATCTACCAGATCTACGCATTCCGCATTTCGAAGCAGGGGCCGGGGGCGGGGGGGTCCCTGTTATCATGGTTATGTTGCGAAGCAGGGAGTAGTACAATCATGTACAGTACGGTATTGTACTACTCCCTGTTGCGAAGAATTTCCCGAAGGCGAAATTCAGTACAAACATGCAAGCACTGTACTATATATAGTATAGTACATGACCCCCAAGTCATGACGTCGCCCAATGCCCCGCTGCTGCCCGTCCCAAGTCATGGTGGTATAAATGGGGACTGCTCATCTGAACAATAGAACAATAGAGTTGACAACAGCATCCTTTCGGCGACTGTCGAGACGGAAGAGATCAAGTATCTTTGGAAATGGAGCCAGGACCAAGATGTCCACGTGTACGCCAGGGTGCGAAGAACGCTGCACTGTTTCAACTTGTCACAGGATTGCTGCTGCTGCTGGTGCTAGGATTCGTGCAAGGTGACTTCGCTCCATCACAGACGTGTGACCCAGCGTTGTCGTCATACGCTGATATCCAGTCATGGCGCCAAGACAAACTGCCTGGTAAGCAATAGTACTTTAGCGGATAAGGACAAGAAGGTCGTCCATGTGTATACACTCGGACGTCTCTTATCCGGGCACCTTGGGACCGGGCACTGCCCGTATCTCAGATTTGCCCGTATCTCAGAATAACTCATCTACCATGTATGATAACATTTTTTGAAGAAGTTTATTTGGCACGTATTGCACATGTTGAGGATACAAAAGGAACCCATTGATAAAAATGTGGGGGTTACATAGGTTGGCAGTGAAACAAGCACTTCCACATACGGAAAAAGTTCAAAAAACCCAAATTCGACGCATTTGTGCTATAGGAACTCAAGCTGAAGGTGCCCGGTAGAGAGACGTGCCCCTATCTGAGGCGTCCGGATAAGAGGCGTTTGAGTGTACGTACAATGTAGATAACACTAGGCTGTGTTTACATGTGAATTGTAAACCCGGGTTGAAAGTCTGTATGGCGGAAAAATAGGTGGGTGTTTTCATGAAGAGTGTTAACCCGGGTCTGATGGTCAATTACTGATAATTATGCTGACAAAAGTGCACTTCTAGGGTCCTGTATGGTCACGTGATTGCTTTCGTGAAACATTTACGTGTGCACTAACTTGGAGCGAGATACGCACTGAAGTACCGTAATATGATTTCTTCATTTCAAACCTCTCCTTGGGGAAGATTGAAATTTCAACCCGAGTCCGGCATCATGTAAAAGCGCCAGTCAATCTGTGTTCATGGCGGGTTGAAACTCGACCCGGGTCGAGCTCCAATTCGGATTGAAGCGCCTCGTGTAAATGCAGCCTAAGTGTTCACTGATGATACATGTCTGTCCGAGCACTGTCTACCTTTCTCTATTGCTCCTACATTGTAGGCTTCCCGTGTCGAGTACTGCAGTGCTGGCAACTGAAATCCGACCCCTGAGCGGTGCGTTCACATTCTAGCGGTCTCTATTTCGTAGTGTTACTTACAATCCCGTGTTGGGTGTTTGCGACGTGAGCTCAGTGAGCTCAGTGGTCAGATTTCAGTTGTCAGCACTGTAGTATCCTTGATCCACAGTACTTTTCGGTACAAGCATCTGAAATGTGTTTCGCAACCGTGTGATACGCAATGTGCAGCACAATCCAAGCAGAATTGAGAGTATGGCACAAGGAATTCATGTTGATTTAATCATGCACAATATCAGATTCTGTTGCTTGTTGTTCATCCAGTGTCAACCCATGGTGTATATCGACTGTTTGCGCTACACCATACTTATCTTCCTCAACTGTTCGCTTATGAGACAGTGTCACCAAATTCACCCCACAATCCAGATTGTGTCAGTGACCTACCAGAATGCACCTATGGACTTAAGCAGCTGCAAATAACTCAAAAGCCATTGCAGATGTTGATGAACTTAGACGGCACAGCATCACAGAGTTGGTGTGCAAAGCTAACGGATTATGGTCGTGGTGTATACGGACCATCCTCTGCTGACACTTTTGAGTCCATGGACTTGGGAACTACCAATGTTTTCATCCTGAGGCGGCCATTTGGTGACATCCCGGTGTTCTGGTACAAAATAAGAAACATTACAAGACCAGGTATGGTCTTTAGCCTTGTGTGTGTGTGTGTGTGTGTGTGTGTGTGTGTGTGTGTGCGTGTGTGTGCGTGTGCATGTGCGTGTGTGTGTATGTGTGTGCACGTGTGTAGGTGTATGTGTGTGTGTGTGTGTGTGTGTGTGTGTGTGTGTAGGTGTGCATGTAATCAGTAATACCGGTACTTATGCAGTATCTACTTACACAGGGGACACTACGTCATACCAAAGAGTTTATAACCCCCAAGAGTGTGCAACTCCAGCTATGTGGTCTGCGACTGCAGAACTTCACATCACGTGATGAACCCGTACACATTTTTTGCACTCTGTGCATGATAGATACAGGGTTGTATGCAAACCAGCTCGGGGCTCAACTCTCTTGTGGTCACTTTGCACTGTTTGCCAGCGTAACCGTTTGAACCATGTCACTTGATGTGAAGTTCTGCCGTCGCAGCACAGCATGGAGGTTGTGCAGGCAGTTGCACACTCTTGGGGGTTATGCACTCTTGGCAAGGCCAAGTAAAAAAAAGAAGATTGTTGATCGTCAGAATTTTCCGAAAAATCGGGGCGGACGGGAGGGTTGTATTTTCATTTTATAACTTTTTTTATATCTACATCGACCGGACATCTTGAAATCTTAGCATGAATTACATCTATGGGGATATGGGTGTACTACCATTGTTGGTTGTGACTGCTACCAGTCTGCCTGGACACACTTTGAACATGTGCAGATGCCTCTGTGATGCGTGGTGGCTGCGCAGTTTCCATGAATGCAGGCGTAGATATCAGGTGGTACACTGTACAGACTACAGTGCCATGTATTGTAGTTGCCAGATTTCACACAAGTACACTGGAATCACACTGCACTGCGTGATGTCGCTACGGTAAAAGCACGTTGAAGTTGTACATGAGAGCTCGCATATGCTCGTACTGCTAAAAACATTTCGGATTTCGCTAAACACACGAGTTTTCTACCGTTGATCACGAAAATAAAAAATAAAATAAATCGCGGGACGGACTGAAAAATCGGGGCGGGCGCTGACGATCAACAATCAATTATTTTTACTTGGCCTAATACAAAGAGTCAATCATCCCATGCGTGTTATCCTGCCTGTATTACTGTATCTCTATGTAGGAGTGCAAAAGCAGAGTTTTACATCACATGACCTCAGTTCACAATGTTCTGGTCAATGCAAAGTGACCCGGCATCTGAACCAGAGAGTTGGACTCAATTCGTGGTTGCATATAATATAAATCAAGAGCATACAGCTTCACTATCAGTATGAGTGCAGTTCTGACAGAATTTCACGTAGACAGTTGCTGTGCCAAAATGGCCTCGGATGGAGAGCCAAGGACAAACAGCTGTCCCCACAGAATAACGCGGACAAAATCCTAAAATTATGCGGGCGAAAACAGGCCATTAGGCTGCAAATATGCGGGATTATGCGGCAAATATGCAGGATTATGCGGCAAATATGCGGGTTAATGGAGAGGTTTCGCATTATGCTGAACCTCTATAATGCAGCAAATATGCGGGTTAATGCGGTCATTATGCACGAGTTATCTGTCACTGGTACAACTTTAGCGTGCTAGTCTCATGCAAGAATACAACTTTGTCGTGCAAACTCATGAACCCATGCGACTTTGTAGTACATTTTCGACACCATGCACCATTTTCTTGTACATTCTCATGAATAACGCGGGATTTATGCGAAATCTCACGAAAACGTGGATGATAACCAATAACAAAAGTAGAAAGGAAAAGGACATATGGAAACGAGTTAAGAGTAACTCTCCACCACTGTAACTAGATACTATATACAGTCAGAAAGTGCAATAACTAGGCACAAAACTGACAGAGTACTAAGACATTCGACGTCCTGACACCTAGTTTCAACACATTCCCGTAGCGCTAACCGACAGCCTTCCAACTTGGAAGGTTCAAGGTTATGGAAAGACCAAAGAGGGGAAGGCAAGCGCAACGAAAACGAACACAAGCTACAGTCCCAACGGAACAAAGAATGTCGATTGTCACTGGACGATGACGAGACCAGTAGGCTAGTTATTGCACTTTCTGACTGTATATAGTATCTAGTTACAGTGGTGGAGAGTTACTCTTAACTCGTTTCCATATGTCCTTTTCCTTTCTACTTTTATTATTGGCTCAATACCCGAGTTTCAAATAACCAATAACGCGGAAAATTCCGCGTCCGTGGAATCGCGGTATCCTGTGGGGACAAATACACAGTAAATACATTAGGGAGGTTTCGCTTTACGGAATTACGGATGAAAATGACGTAGGAACTGAAAGTCATTTTCATACGTAAAAATCAGAGCTGTTGGGTTGTGCCAAGAGTACATAACCCCCCAGAGTGTGCAACGCCTCATCCAGCTCTGCATAGGATCTTGGTCGAGCGTAATCGGATCTTTGGGTAATAATACCGTACACATCTGGGGGGAACCCGGGGAGTCGCGGGTACTCTCGGATCAAAAACAATGGTGCCCTGCCTCGAGACCGGCCTTGCGCTGGTGTGGAGTGTACGCATGACATCAGAAGATCCGATTACGCTCGACCAAGACCCAATGCAGAGCTGGATCAGGTTTTGCACACTCTGGGGGGGTTATGTATTCTTGGTTTCGCTCTACGTGATTTCTCCACGACTGCTAAACATGCCTTGTTGCTTTGGAGAGACCTGCTGGCTGCATGCGCCCACCACATATGCGTATTCACCACGAACCAAGACGTTTTCCATTTTATTTTCAACGTAGTGTGCGGTGTGTTACCTTGTGTTTCGCCCGGCTTGAACGTTGCCATGGATAAGTCAGGAAAATGCGAATAATATTTCAAAAAGTCCTACTGAGGACCCAACGTAGGAAAGAGCTTTCCAACAGAAATCCGTACAGAGATTTATGTATGAAAGTTGCCCTCGCTGCCCGGCGCCTACGACGTACGGATTTTCATACGCAACTAAGTAGAGCGAAACCCCCCTACTGAAAATATACAAAATTTCGGCGCTGCAAAATTTCGGCACTTCACGATTTTTGACATTTCCGCGGCGATTTATTTTCGGCGTGGGGTAGAGGGCACGGTATAGTGTGACAGATGCTGTGAAAATTTTCATCGGCGTTTTAATTTAGGCGTTTTGGGTCGGTGCCGAATATAGCCGAAATTAAATAGCTGCCGAAAATTTGTATATTTACAGTATTATAGAAAAGACAAGGACCAAGGAACCCCTAGACATGCCTTTTCCTTCAAATATTCTTTTTGAAGCCATTCTGCACCGAGTGAGATAAATCTATGTGATGCAAATGAGTCGTTAGCCATGAATAACATCTTGCAAGAGATATTTTGAGGATGCAAATAAGGAAAAGTGAAACAACCAACGTAGAACAACAAAGAAAAGCAGGCAGCTGATAATCTCTTTCACTTTTCAGCCTGTAGCACCTACATGTATGGTTCAACCTGCAGGCTTGGCCTTCCAAGATCTACAGTCACGTTGATTAGAGGCCATAGGCGTAGATCGCAGCACATACAGTATATTTAGTAGGGGTCAAACGGGTGTACCTTTAGGGCGCGTTCAGACTACCGTGAACCCCGTCAAACCGTGAATGCCGATAAACCGTGAAGGACATTCACACTACCGATAACAAACTAACGTTACCATGAAGTTTTCAGCTCTCACCGCGGCACTGACAAGGGATTTTCCCTTTTTTTCGCAGCGCGCATGCAGCCTGAGCACCTTTTTACTGCCGGTAAAAGTTTACTGCCGCAGCAGCCGCGGCAGTAAAACTTTCCCACCGGTAACGTGCCAGTAACGTCACGTGATCAAATCACCTTGCCGACTTTCCCAATCGGTCACTTTTTATCGGTAGTCTGAACGCGCCCTAAACTAACGAACGGGTAATTTTCTTAACGGGCGGGTTAACGGGTACCCTTTAGCAGCCATATTATTTTTTTGCGCATTTCTCACATAAATCATGATTTTAATTTGTATATTCTCAGGTTGTATTTTGATACTACATTATGATTCGCAATTGATTCGTGTATCATAATATTATTATGGCAATGAAGGTTCCAAATGAATGTCATCCGTGCATTTGCCCATGTACATAACTTCACAGTAACTTACAATCGTACATGTAGATGGTCCTACAAGCTACATCATGTATTTTGATACATGTACGCAAATCAACTGCAGATCGATGTGATTCAAGCCATGCAAGGACAGAGTGGTTTAGCAAAACTTCCGTGATCTCGCGCAATCCTATTAAATTTTGCTATGTTCGCAGAGAACTGGTATTAGTTGCATTCAGAAGATGTTCGCGCCCATAGGTAGCTGGGGTGCCTGACACAGCTGATGTGCTGCTGGCCAGCTAGCTGCTAGTGCTAGCTTGTTGAACTCGTGAAATGAATCTTCACAAATCCGTAATCTTGTATGCAATATTTCGAACTACTTTTCAGCTCGTCGATTGAAGGAACAAACTACAACCATGAGTATCATACATGTAGCTACCACCTACGGACATCACCGTTTGTGACACTCCGACTGGTCACTCAGCCTGGTGACACTAGTTCATCAAGTACTGTGGCAGGTTCGATGTCGGAGAACCATCGTAACTTTCTAGTTACTCAGCTGCCACCTCGAACGAGTTTCAAGTCTTGCATTTTCTCACATCACAATCAAAAACCTCCACTGACCAGTACGAGGATTTTTACTTGCACTAGACTGGAGAGAACAACTGTCAAGTCTGTCTTTCAGCCTGCTCCTGCCTGATAAAGTCGAAAGCGGGAATGCACAGGAAAAAGGAAAAGAGTATCCGCACTCCTATTTTGAGTCTTGGAATACGATAGGATCACTTTTTTTTTTTTTTTTTTTTTTTTTTTACAAACGGGTACCCTTTTACTAACGGTACCTGAGATTAACGGGCGGGTACCCGGGTACCCGGTACACCCGTTTGACCCCTAATATTTAGCGGAATTAAAAAGTCAAATAATTCGGCCGGGAGGGCGAAAATTATAGGGCGGGCGCTGACGATAAACAATCAGTTTTTTTACTTGGCCTAATGTCGACTAACACCACCAGTTACTAAACAATCAGCTCGTGCAATATTGCATGACACTTACCGACGGTACTGGCGTTCTACAACTAACTGGCTAGCACATCTTGGATACGCACTCCAACAGCCTTCCGACTTGGAAAGTTCTAAGTTATATGATAACATAGGAGGGGAGGGTGAGCGCAACCAAGAAACGCACGAGCTGAAAGTCTCAGCTGTGAAGGACGTCGGCAGATGTACATGCATGTCGATGACGATACTGGAAAGACCATTGGACAATATGGTCAAATCACGATTCAAGGACGCAAAGCAACATTCCACACAACTTGTGTGGCTCAAAAATGCGAAGATCAGTTGTATTATTGTAGTTCCTTGGTCCTTTTCTTTTCTAGAAGTAGACATTTGTTATGATTTAAAGGGGAAAGGGTTTGCTCCCCACACCGGAGCTCGCGCTATTCCGCCGACTTTACTTGACACTTGACTGACTCACGACTGCCATCCAGAGCACACGAGAAGTCCATCGAACCTTCGACTCGGCAAACCTGCAAGAAAGCACCACTCCCTGCTCAATACACAGTGTTTCGGGGAATTCACCCCTCATCAGTTGAGCTTGAGTAGGCTGAGGAAGATTGTGCCTGAAGAGCACCACTTATATAGTGCTCTCCAGGCACAAACATCACCAGGGATACAAACTTACAGAGACGCTCCGTTTCCAGCGCGACAAACACCTCGTGAACACCAGATAGCAGCGTGAGTCAGTGTCGCTCTTGGACGGTGAGACAGACGTCGAGGACCCTCGGTCATTCGCAATGCTGTCACCTCCAAACCAACTAGTCGCAAGCCCGCGCTGGGCACAACAGTACGAAGTAGTGGTTGCGACTTCGGCGATGACTTGTAAGAAAGGGTGGGGTTAAAGGGGAAGTTAAGGCAAAAATTAAAATTTCACCAGTTGTAGTCTTCGGGGTGCTGAGTCGAATGGTCTTGGTCCGAGAAAGCTGAGACGCTCCCTTCCTACTTGAATCCCAATCGAACTCGCGCACTTCCACCGAAACTGGGTGACTGCGCCCTACTAGATGGGGATTTGTATGCAAAATGTCACTAAAAGCGCCATTTCGTTCTTATAAAAGCACGGATGACCGCGATTGGCCCATATGTTGTAGTCTTTTGGACGCTGAGTCGACTGGTTTTGGTCCGAAAAGGCTGCAATGCAGCGTTCCTCCTTTATTCCCAATCGAACGTGGTCGAACAAAAGGTCACGTGCTCCTGCGTACACCAGTCACCTGGTCACCGTGCCTGCAGGGTACAACTTACTAGCCTGTTTGACCTTTTTTGGGTACAGTCCTGTCACTCGAGTTGAACCTTGGTGTTAGTTGTCGCCTGCTGGCGTGGTGACCAGGTGATTTGGGCACGAACTTTCGCAACTTTGGACGCGAAACTTGCAGGGAACGAGAAATGAACTTTCGTAGGAAGTTTCGTGAGATTGGGTCATGTCGTACGTGCACTTGGCGCGTGCAAACTACGAAAATGTGTAGAACACAAAGTTCGTGCGAAAATTCGTACACATTTTCGCAAGGCCTGTCGCGAAACTTTGTTCGAATTTTCGTTGTGCAGAACCTCTTTAACATTAGCGAGAAATATGTCCAAAACTGCCATGCTGTAATACTGCTAGGGCGGGTTGGTAGTGTATATCGCTCTATACTTTTCTTCAATAGTTGTAATTCGCCATTGCATCCATTAGTGTAATGAACACTTCCTAAGGAGCGTTATGCTAAAACTAGTTCGAAGTTCTCTTTTGTCCTTGCTCAGTTATATGCATCCCTTTCCCTGGTTTAGTCCTTCCATTGTTCATAACATCTATGGTTCATCATCTTTCTGTTCTTTGTCCAATTAAACATTCGTGATAATGTTGATGCATCTGGTACTGTTGTTTGCAATTTAATCAATTTATGTAATTGTTGCTGCGTAACCTGTATTCTGCAGAAGCGGTTGCCACTATCAATGCTTGGAAGACCTCTACCATCAAAGGTCTTGATGTGAATGCAACCATAAAAGGATACAGTTCTGTCAAACTTTATTCTGAGAGACTCCTCGAGTGTGCGAGATTTACAGTTACAGTATCCCGGGGTAAACAGGTTCCCGTCAAGGATAGAGTGATACGTCTATTTAAAAACCAAGCTCTCATTTCCAATGGTGACCAGTCGGTTAAGCTGTATCTGTTCAGGAATGCTACATCGCAGCAAGATGTAGCCTATGTGTGCTTCCCTTACGCGGAGGAAAGCCGTACATCTGGCACCTATCACTTAACAGTGAACTATCTCAATCAGCATACCACTTACTCTCACGTGGAGCAAACAGTGCTCCACTCGTTCAATGTTACTGTCACGCAAGAAGAGCCTCCAACAATAGGTAAGAAGGGTAGGCATGCTTCATAAAAATATTCCATAAATACCATTGGCCAACATACGTGTGTGCCAGAACTCATGCAGTATTGTGCGTTCTGGAGAGTAGGGGTTAAAAACACATTAAAAAAACACATTAAAAACACATTCCTGCTTCAAATTAACATGTACAAATAAAGAACACCATTGCACAGGAAACTTAGTTCGAAGCTGAATGCACTGCACTTACACCTTCTAGCAACATAATCATGACTGGTATTTGACCTGTGACAGTACATGTATTAGTATGTATTAGTGTGGCATTACAACATATGGTTCTGCTCAGTACAAAGGGTCAATTTTTCCTGAGTTCAAACAGAGGTTCTGACAATGGTTGACAGGCCCGAAACGTCCTAACGTTTTCGACATCACGTATAAAGAAGTTTTCATCCACCGCATGCGCCAAGTGTGAATAGCAACGGAATAGAGCGGTTGTCAGTTGACAAACCCCCTTTTTTTATAATGCAGTTGCGTGGTGTCCACCACTTTCTTAGTCAAACAGGGACATGCACAAATTCAATGGTTTGTTATAATCATGAAATTCACTATGTGCGAGTTGGCTATACGTGGAGTTGACTGTATTACATAAATTTAGATCACAGTGGAGCTTCCCCTTTCTTTTTTTATTACAGAAGTTGAGCCTCCCAATTTGGGGTCTCTGTTGCTTTGTAGTAAGACTGGTATGTCCAATTGTCTAAGGGGTCGTCGCAAAAGTTTTTTTGTCCTCTCCGAAACGATCGTTCATTTTGTACTAAGGCCCCTCTCCTCCCTTTGAAATGAATGCAGCTGGCTATACTGGACAACGAAAATTACATGCACGTACACGTATATATATATGTATAGTGTCGGTCGACTTGCAATTTTGGTTCGCACCCTTCCCCGAATGATGTTCATTTCAGGGACGACAATTTTTTTTACGACGACCCCTAACTAGTCTTGTCATTTTTATTTTTTATTTTTATTTTTATTTATTTTTATTTATTACAGCATCTCATAGCCCAGTGAGAACACCGGCCAATACAAAGAGAGAGGGTGTTAGCCAACCACGGCAAGGAAGGGAGAAGGGGAGGAGAAGAAAATAAGGAACCGGCATGGATAAGTAGTGATTGCAACAAAATGAGAAACGCAGATCATCATCCCGTAACGTTTGGCATTCTTTGTTGCCGGGGGACATAGTCGTGCTCATCTTCGCTGCGCTTTCCTTCCCCTGATTGTTTGTACTTTTCCTAACCTGAGCCTTCCAAGTTGTAAAGTTGTTGGTTTGTGCATCGTAGTAGCAGTAGTAGTACTACTACTACCGTAAAATACCGCCAGAGCGCCCCATCTTGCAAGAGCGCCCCGTCTTGCAAGAGCGCCCCACCTTGATTTTACAGCCAGAGAAAGGAAAATCGTATGGCAGAGTGCAACGAAGTGTGTACAATGTGAGAATCTTAGTGTACTAAGGTCACACTTGGCAGGTTTTGTGTGGAGCTTGTGTCCGCTTGAAGGTACGGATTGACTGCAAAACGTGCAATATGTGTACAAGGTTCATGTCGTATGACCTACAGACAGCAGACCACCTGCACAATACGACCACGAAAGGATGAGATGGTTGGGCGCTCTGGCGGTACTTTACGGTACCACTACTAAGAGGCTAAGAGGCTTCGGTAGTATGGGTGCATCAGTACCAAAGATGCGGTTGTCGACCGTGACAACGCCACCCGTCGCTACCCTCCCAGACACCCTGGGCTGACGAATCAGCTTGCAGGGCGGAGCTGAGTTGTTCCGATCATCCTCCGGAACGAGAACAGGCTCAACATGGACACCACCAAACGCTATCTCAGCGAGTCTGGCATCTGCATCTGAGTCGCGGATGTCGTTATGGCCTTTCTTCACCATAAAAACATATTCCGGTGCCTTGCTGGCTAGTCCTGTCAGATCTAAGAATAGAGTAGCCAGGTTGTTGCAACTAGGGCATCGCTTATCTCGTAAATGTGCTGGAGCTAGGTGTCACATCGTTGAATGTCTCAGTACTCCCTGTCAGTTTTGTACCTTGTTGTCAGACTCTCTGACTTTGTATGATCTTGTTCCTTTGGTGGGCATTTAGAAAAATGTCGTTCTTCCCTTTTATCCATGATTACATTGGCTCACTGTCCGAATTCAAGTTTAGGATTCTAGTACGTCCTTTACATTTTAAAAAGGAAAGAATTTCAACTTCCTCTGTCGAGCTATTCTCCATCTGTGCTTATTCTCTACGGTTTTCATGCGCAGAGGGAAAAACCAGCACCATGCCGCCAGTGGATTTCCCACTTCTACGTGAGTAGTAGTACTGAGTGTAGCTGACAGTGAGACAGCACAATACTGATAACGTGAACTTCCGTTCGCTGAACATAAACCTATGAATTATGATTAAATTCAGATGGCTAGAGCATTGCTCGTGATGAGCAGGGTGCAGGTTCAAGTCGGGGTGCATGAGTTTGGCATTGTTTCACTTTTCTGGCAAATCGCTTCCCCGACTCGTTTACATTGAAATAGTAGCTCTCACGTTCCATTAAAGTGAACACCACTGCATCGGTTTGTACTCTATACCCTTACACTGTGAAACGGGAGACCTTTGTTCCAGCTTCAGTTGGTGATTTGCGTGCATAGACCATTTGCAACTGGAAATGTTTCCTTAGTTGGAAATGTTTCCTTATCTCTTTGTCTGTCACCAGTTAATCCCATATTATAGGATTAGACTTCAAGACGCATTTGCCGCCTCGAAAATGGTCGATGTGTGAAGCAATGTTATTGAAGATGCATTTTGATCTTTCCCACGATGCCTCTCCTTATTTAAAATGAATGAATAGAGGTTACTCACTGGCTAAGACTCCCAGGAAAGGTATCTGTGTGCAATTATTGCTGATGAATTGCAATTACAAGTGGTAGAAATAGACAAGGAGTGGAATAGATGAATATTAGCACCATCCTAGCATTGAAGGAGTGTTGTAAAGTGCTCGCAGATCAATATGAGCTAAAGACACTACATGTTTGGGGCATTTACTAAATCAGTTGTGTTGAAGTATGTACACATATTAATAGTGGAATACTCTTTTGGTACTAGCCTAGGAGGTGCTTCTTCTTTAGCCATAGATGCATAGAATTTTTGTGTTAGCTCCATATGGGCTATATAGCTAGGCTTGGATATTGCCAACTATGGTTTTTTATTGGCAGGGGAACTGTGAAGAACAAAACCAATTTTTGAAGAGGCCAAATCCTACCGTATGTCCGCATATGGAGGTATATTCGATTATAAAGCCAGTCTCAGTTATAAAGCCATGGGCTTCATAAATAAAATTACATTTGAAGTAGGTTTTGAATTAAGATTGAAATTTATGTGTGGACTTTGACTTTTATGACATGGCGTAGTAGGTGAGTCATTTTACATCTAGAATAGCTAGGAAAGCAGCAGTGTTTCGAATATAAGGCCATGGCTTTAAAGGCGCTGACATACAGTATATATAGGATTTTGAAAATTCTGGACACTCTTGCACGGGAAGGCCGGCCTGCTACAGACAAAGTAAAGCCCTTGTGCTGGTGAAACTTGGCAGGCATCATCTCTGATAAACACAGAATGCAGACTCCAACAGGTTTTTGAAGAAAGATCTTTACTTTGTAAGGTATGATCTACTCTTTCCCAAAAATTGGGAAAAATCCTATATATCTCTTAATTTGCTAAATCCTATATATAGGATTTTGAAACTCTGGTATTGAGCCAATAATAAAAGTAGAAAGGAAAAGGACATATAATATAGGATTTTGGTCATATTTTTCAACTCAAAATGGGTGTGGCACGAGCATAGAGAAAAGTATGTGACCAATTCTTCCTTGCTAGGTCTTAGTAGATATTGAGAGTTGAATAAGATAATTTTTTCAAACACTAACATCTCAGGCTCATCTCCTTGCCCAATATTACTAAGGCCTGTGCCCTATTTTTCGAATCCTATATATAGGATTTGAGATTTTATTGGACCTTGTTTTATCCTTAAAACTGGTAGTTTCATGACGGCATGTGCGATATGTCGTCATGAAACCACACCTGCAATGTTCTTCTGCATATTCACTGCTTCAGTCCTTTCCATGACAGCAGCTGAACAAATATGCTCAAATTTCCAATTTTTGCTGAAAATGGGTATTCATCAGAAATATTATCGCCCTATGAATCTAAAATGTGAACATTCATGCCTCAAACATATTTACAACTTCCATGAAAACCATTATGCCGTTATTACTGGTCGTGATGACCAATAACAACGGCATAAAAGGCACACATTTTCAAATCCTATATATAGGATTTTGGGCCAGCAAATTAAGAGATATACTGTAGAGGCTGAAAAATTCGTCGGTCAATAATTTCGTCCCCAATTCCAAAGAAAAGGAGTTCGTCCGGTTGAAAATTTCGTCCATGGATCATAAGAGTGTATAGAAAAGCAGGGCAAATCGACATCAGTCCTACATTTAATTTAGTCCAAAAACTCCTTGGACGAAAAAGACGAAATTAAATTCCAGACGAATATTTCTGCTTGTACAGTATAGGATTTGACAGACAAAGAGATAATTTTTATCGCCCTGTCATCTGAATAGCAGTTACATAATTATTAAATTTTTGTCGAGAATAAGTATGAATGTGCTTGTGTGTCATACCAATAGGTCGTGAGTGTGCAGGTTGGGCCGATTTATCAGGCAATATGCATGCCCTTGATATCTACTATGGCCCCAAGCTGGCTGGCTTGAATTACACTGCAGCTCATCAATTTTGCTCCAGCCAAGGGATGCGCTTACCTCTAGCCACTGAGATGCATTGTGCGAACCAATTCATGACTGAAACGTATGGCAGTGCAAGCCTTAGTTGGATTGAGACGCCGGAAGTTACTACTCGCGCAATCGTAAGCCAACTCCTCGAAAACCAACTCCTCGGTGAACAACTCCAGTATATACCGTTGTCAACACAGTTGAAGATGGTAGCCTGCGCCAAGCCAGTCGTAAGTCAAAAATGCCTGTCAACCGTACATTGTTGACAATTTTTTTCTGCAATGATATGCCAACATCTTTGTACACATTCATACACTATTATAATATTATACTGGTACAAGCAGCTAATTACTTTGCAAACGTTGGTCGATAAGGCAATAAGCAATGGAT